GGGTAAAAGTCTCCACATAACCACACAGCCTGCTGTGTGGTATGCTATGAGCATTCACCATCTCCCTCCCCCGGTACCGGAGGATTGCCCTTATTTGCCTCGAGCGCAAAAAAAAGGTGCCGGTAGGGAGTCGCTCGACCGATCTGCATATTGTTTCAGAGCGAACGGCCTGTTGGTTAGCAAATCTGAAGAAACACTGCCGTTATTACTGTAATTTTTAAGTTTTAAATGAAGTAAATAGCACCAATGTGTATGTATACTTCAAAAGGGGAATGCATGCATACGGCTACTCTCCTTCGCTCCGCTGTAGCCCATATTGCTTTATGGCATTAAATATATTCCTTTACACAAAGACGAAAAACAAGCATACAGGATGGCTAGGCCCTCAAATGCATAATTCCGGTTTATAAAACGTACTCTGTGGCGCATAGTAAATTTATCCTTGAATAAGAATCAAAATGCATATTGTTACACCTTGAGGATTATGAAAGAATGCCTCTATCAGTAACTAAGATCTTTGGTTCTCATAACACTATCTAAGAAACAGCATTACAGTGCTATTTCCTAGTGTGAGGGAGTGGTCCTTCCTCAGTCATGCACACATTCATAATACAGTTGAATTATGGCATAATAATTATCAGTTGGAACAATCAGCTACCAACAGATCTAGACCAGATGTAGGCCTTGTCTTGTCATCAGTGTAACATAATATGGACAGTTCCTTGAATGCTTGAATAACTGGTCCAAATGACTGACTGACAAAAAGCGGGGATGGGTTAAAGATAAGGCATGTTTAATTTTCGTAATTGTTTATTTTCACATACAATGAAGAACTATCATACACATGTGTCTAATATTTAAATAATAATAAAATTATTAAACTGACGTTTTAATTTTTCTTGGGGACAGCATGACCATAAATTGTGTGGGCAATTCCAGCTAAACCTAAAATGCATAAAGCCATAGTAAAACGATAAAGAATTGCATCAAAAGGACCACCTTTTAAGAACACAGGAACATCATTTTCTTTCTGTAACAAATTTTTATTGATTCAGTAAAATATATTCGTAATCGAAAATTATTACATAATTATGCTTTACCTCCACTATTATGGAGTACCTATAGGAATTTCTCCTGTGACTGGGAGTGTTTTACAAACTTGAATAATTTACATTGCATTGATTGGTTTCAAACAAAATAACTACTCCCACAACATATCTTTGCACTCACATTATCTCTCTGAAATGTGTTTCTCTTTACCCCTTCCCTGTAAATTCCCTGATTTCCCATGCTGTCCACTGTCGTTGTAATAACAAATGCAGATATTTGTCTATTCAGGTATTTTTTAGATATGTTTATTCTAGCCTATCAAAGGAATACTGCTGAATAACGGATTCCTCGTAAGATTGCTTCATTGAGGGTAGCATAGATGCTACACTCGGAATACTGATTGGCAACTACTTTTACATTATTTTCAGTAGTTATCAAGAACATCCTGTTGCCTATCTCCTGGTTCACTTTCCCTATGGTGCCTCTTACAATAGCAACAGAATGATATGGAGTATTCAATTCCCTCATACTGCCTCTACAAAATGATGCATGTACTCTTACTAAAGGTAAAAATTTTAATTTATTGTTAGGTTTTTATTTTATTTTTTATTAATATTACTAAAATAAGTAATAATGTTTTATATTAAGTGAAAAGCAGAATAAAGCATTTTATAATACAAAAATTTTTAAGCTTTATGTCACTAGCAAAAGAAGTTATCAAGAAAACTTTTAATTTAAAAAAAATATGTACAAGAAATACTAATAATATTATTAGTATTTCTTGTACCAACCACTATGATAAGTTTAAATTGTTTATAATAGAAGTTGCTCACAACAGTAGTCAAATTAAATTATTAGGCTACTGTTGCTTCCTTAGTCAATTAACAAAAACAAAAATTATTGTAAACAAATATTTTTTTTATTTTTGGTGGAATAACTAATAAATGTTGCTTTCTTTTTTGCTAATTTTATGATATGCCTCTCTGTGACGTCACAAGGTCATGTTAAGAGTAATGCTAATTGAGTAGTACATAATATTATAATTTGAAAGAAAACAACACTCTTACGGCCAAATACTCAAACGCTACTCAATTATAAGATGACTTTAAGTCTCGTGGTATCACAGCCACTTTGACTTAAAGTGATAGAAGACAGCACGAGACTTAGCGGCGACTTAAAATTAAATAGCGTTTGAATATTTGGGCATTAATGTACTTATAATTTTACTCTTGATTTAATGCTTTTTTGTTACAAAAACTCCAGAGGTCCACTAGAGGTCCACTATCAAACTGTGAGCAACTTTTATTATAGAATATGGGTGAAAATTGAGCACATTCTACCTGATGATAAGTGGCTGGGGTATAAGCTTATGTACTCATTGTACTAACATAAACCTTTACTATTCACATAATTACCCTATATCCAAAATTATCAGATGAGTATGAAGATGTTTAACTATCTTAAAAACTGTAATAAGCTATATAACATAATTAAATAAGAGCATAAAACTAATATATTTTTATATATAACATATATATACATAACCTCTTACCTGGAATAGTTCTTGTTGTTTCCTGATTTTTTCGGGAACAGGTGCATAAGGAATGTTGGTGCCAGGGATCAGTTTCCTAGAACCAGGGGCTGGGCAAGCGGAAGCTTCGGTTACCGTAGACAGATGAGCGGTGTTGTACTGAATTTGAGGAGGCTCTACTCGCTGCAGAGCGATAGGCGCCTAAAAATAAATATATGGTAAAAATATTGATAGCATGGTATGGTTTTTCGCAGTACTGTAGATACTTACAATCGGAAACAGCGGGCTCTGTAAATGGGTTGCAGACACCAATCTGCCGGTTACTTTGCTTAATTGGTGATACATTTTCTTAAATCGATATTATACAGCACACAGTAGCGCGTTAAAAATGAAGATAAAATTCTAGCCCTGTTACGAAACAAGTATCAAGAAGTACTTATCGAATATTGGTTGCGTTCTTAAATTAGACTATGGTTTAACATCACCGTCATATCTCTAAAGGGCAATTTAATTCATAATCAATTAAAATAAAAGAAACTCGAGGTATGTAAAACAATTAAACATTTATTTTAACACGAATTTATCATAATTTAAAACAATATATATAGTTTATATCTAGTATATACACAGTAATCTATGTTTTATATTTAAATTTTCGTTGTTAAACGCTTATATAAAGCAGTATATACATTTAACATTACGGGCATCCACGTCTTTTTCTGCCACCAGGGCGGCGCCACATAAAAATGAGGTGTAATATTTGACAGATTACAACATAACGGGAAGTTAATTTTTTTGAAAAATCTATAGTATAATGTTTTTTTCTGTACTACTAGTTATATTTTATATTAATTAGATTAAAAATAAATAAACAAAACCACAAATATTCATAAAGTAGTTTTTTTAGGAGTTAAAAATGTGCAAAAAATTAAAGAGCAAATCAGGCATTGTTTTATGTATTAACATAATACTCTAGAAATTGTTAAACTTTTATTTAAAACTAACTTCTCAATTAAAGAACATTGTGTATTCAAAAACCTCATTGACTGATAGGTATCACCACGATATCACTTAGTGACATCAGTTTAAAAATGTGCAGTGCAATAGGCTACGAGACATATAATATGGGAAGATACTTTTAATGGGAGAGCTTTACCGTGGTCTTAGTGGCTTGCCGCTCGGACTCGCGGTTTTGTAAGCTGACGAGCCGGGTTTTTATGTTTAGCATTTTGTTTCTCAAAAATCTAAAAAATACGGAACAATTAACAGTTTAAGTACAGGAAATGATCTGTGAAAAAATGATAAGCTGATAAGCTGTAGTAATTATCCTCAAAGAATGCCACAAAACACAGTCCTGACGTGGTACTTCAATTATATTATTGATTACAAATTTTTAATCACTTAGGTATTTAGAAATACTTATTTTCTTTAGATATCTGTCTGCTTGGTTAAGCTGTTGTTAAAAAATCATGTGGTGCATCAGCTTAATAAGAAGAATTTTCTGAACAAAGTGTACCATTAGAGTAGGTTTTATGTTCTAATACTTTTCCCTGCTTAGTTCTCGTATCATTACAACAAAAAACTACGCCTACGGTCTGTGCTATGGAGTGTAGAAGTAAGGAGTACCAACTCCCATAGTAGAATAGTTGAAAAAGTGGCCATCTGTAGGCAGTTAATAACAGTTCAAAAACTCTTCACAACAGCGCTGGAGTAGCTACTGGGATGAAATGAACTTAGCAGTTGTCGACGGTTTAAGTGTGCTGCTAAACTGCTCAGTAGCTCTAAAATCTTAAATTAAAAATATTCATTTTATTTAGTAATTATTTTTCGGTGCGTTCTTTAAAATTTAGCCAGTAACTATAGTGGCGCCACCCTTATTTAACGGTTTTCTATGGACACTTCTTATACACAGTCTGTACTCCTTACTTCTACACTCCATAGTCTATGCTTTTTTACTCTTCTGTACTCTAAATTTTTCTTTTGTGTTTTAGATAGTTCATTTGAGCACATTTGATAAAGGTTAGTTTCCAGTATTTAAAAGTTTTCAGATTATTTTGTGGTAATAATTATTTGAAAATATATTTTTCTTTTTCTTTTTTTAATCTCAAAATCAAAAGGCTTGAGTAATGATGTGGCATGACATTCGAATTTAATATTCGAAGTTTAAATTTCCTCGTGGCGTGTCAACATGACGACGGCGATTGGCTTTTGTTCTTTTCATATTTTGGCCATCTGAAACTGCTAAAATTTCAAGTGTCTATTTACTTACGGTAATTTCTTTTGCAGCTTAACCATGCAGATCTTCGTTAAAACCCTCACGGGGAAGACCATCACACTAGAGGTTGAAGCCTCTGATACTATTGAAAATGTCAAGGCAAAAATTCAAGATAAGGAAGGTATCCCTCCAGATCAGCAAAGATTGATTTTCGCTGGCAAGCAGTTGGAAGATGGTCGTACCTTATCAGACTATAACATCCAGAAAGAATCAACACTTCACTTGGTTTTGAGACTTCGTGGAGGTAAGTTTTAATAAAGATGGGACTAGACCCTTATGAACCTCATCTTAGGTATTTTACATGGATTTACTTTAGGGCATTAGGCCATAGAGTTATTATACTACTGCATATGGACCGGGTCGTTGAAGGAACAAACTGGCACCAACTCATTGGTGCTAAAATGATGGAACAAACTGGCAACAACTCATTGGTGCATGAAGCACCAACCCAAGCTCATATGAGTGCCGTGTGTCTGTGCAGTGTTTCCACTTTTAGATATTTTGCACTATTTTATGGTAAATGTACTAATTTAGGTAGGGCTTTAGGCGTTTCAAGTTGGTTTTGGATAATTTGGGGTGGAAAAGTCGAAGTTCAGGTAACCCTGTTTTCTATACCTACCCAATGCAAATTTTTTTTAAAGATTTATCGAAAGGGATAGGGTCAAAAGAGCTAGAAAAGTGTAGAATGAAAGATTTTCATTCTATCGGAATAATGGTATATTTCGCTTAGTTACATATTCATTATTCCTATGGGACTAAGTGTTATTATGATTTAAAAATGAGAATGTCTTCTTCATCACAAAATTTGGTAATTTTATACTATCGTGGTCCCCTCGATCTTTTTTTTTACAGCGGATTTACGAAAAAGTTACAGTACAGATCTGAGTGGAGACTAGTCCTATGATACCGATATCTTATTCAAAAAATGGTCACATTGCCTCTGATGAAAGCTGCGTGATCTGAGTTCATTTTTATTATTAAACTTACAACTGTTTTAAAGTATATTATATAAATTTTTCCAACCTTCATTCCTTAAGTCCTGTCTATGTGCTACATTAAATTGTTATATCAATAAAACTGCCTTATTGAGATTTGTGCTTCTGACAATTTCACGATGATTAAACTGTTTAAACCATAGAGGTGCACATACAGTTGGTCCCGTAGTTATGAACTTATTGTTTCCTCTATAAGGCAAACATTGGGCATCCTCAATTGTTCTTAATCAACGCAACAACAGATTAAGGATTAGTTAACAACCACCATGATAATAAGAAAGTACTCTATGTGCTTTGCTTTATATAATTATAAAAAAATTGGAAGAAAAGGTATTTAGTTTCAACTACACTCATTAGTGCACATCTAAATAGTCAAGAATTTAAAGTTTAGTTGAGCTTAAATATGTGCCTCCCAAAACATGGTGTTATATGTAATGGTAGCCATATATGCTAGGGTGTACCTGACAGGTTTATCTGTACAGTTAAATTTTACAGGTAAACCGAAGAGTCAGTTGCATAACTACTACTCAGTTCTAGCTTACCTGACAGATGTAACTATACAGGCAAACCTAACAAGTGCACCTTAGTGTGTAGGGCTACCTTTAGGCTGTCAATCAATAGTTGTTTTAGTGAAGAATTTTTGTCAACTCAGTGTGCTTTACCATCAGGAGGGATAGTATTCCGGCACTGGCTTATAGTAGTTAAAAAACAAAATGTGGATACTACTAAACTGTTGTTTGCTTAAAGTTGTACAGTTTAGACATTTTGATAATATTTTCAATTATTTCATTCAGGTACAATGGAGCCTACCCTTCGCATCTTAGCCATGAAGTACAACTGTGACAAGATGATTTGCCGCAAGTGTTATGCTCGCCTTCATCCCCGCGCTACAAACTGCCGCAAGAAGAAGTGCGGCCACACTAACAACCTGCGCCCTAAGAAGAAGATTAAGGATTAGGCAATTAACAATTCGTTACATTGCATATCTACTCTAAAAATAATATGCATCTTAAAATGTACACTAAATAAATAAATACAAAACACCATGTAATTTTGATTTCAAGTACTTAATTATAGGCTTTTATGCAGTATATTTTGAAAATTCAAATACTCCTGCTAGTTCTTCCCATTATCAGTACTGAGGTATTTTTTTGAACCCAATTGACTTTCAATAAGTAAGTATAATGTAACAACTCGGGTTATTGTTAAAACGGAATAACCCGGATTTATAGGGTATATACCCTAAAATTCTGGTTTATTCCGTTTATCCACCCTAAGGTGGATACTCGGAAATGCATGTTCATATATCCTTCCTAGATGGGGCGGATAATCGGAATTCGTATAAATTATTTTTCTTCCGATTTTCTCCCTCTGCTGTGTACGTACAGTCGGCGTCAGATATAAGGGAGCAGTCAAGGTGGTCAAATATTTTGAAACATCCGAAGTGATCAGAAACATTCAACCATCCATAGTGGTCAAATTATTGAGAAAATTTACCTTGCTCAAAATATATCTGAACACGACGTATGACATCAAATACCTATATGCAAAGACATTTAAGCATGTAGTAGTAACAGACCGGACATCAGCAACAAAATTGTAACTTTTGTCCTATAGGATTTATCTCCAGTTTTTGTAATAGTCTTAGTGACATCGTCAAAAGGTCAAAACGCGTGCGTTTTATAAATTTAAAAAATATTTTTATTAAAATATTTTTAAGGTTGTGTACTAAGGTATCGTAAGATATGGAGAAATTTAAAAAGAAAAGAACGTGATTCAGGTTTATTATCGTAAGAATAAGATATATTTGCCCATTGATCTCTATATATACAAGTACGCGTACTTGTGTATGTAGAGGTCGGTGATATTTACCAAATAATCTTTAAATTTTATTATTTTTAGTAGATTGTTGTGTAGATAGAAAAAGTATTGCAATAAGTGTCCTCTGTTATCCAGTAACGTCACTATTTATTTAACAATATGTATGCCAATATGTGTACCTGAAACGGATTTTACCTTACATTTAGTAGCGTCATTTAATGGGGAATAGCTGAAATGTTTTCTAAATAAATATTCAGCGTAGTATTGCTATGTTTCGCTAGAGGGCGTAACACACTCACGAGCTCACAATTTTTGTATGTAAATGGTCCCAATGACCGCTCTATAGTATATTTATTTAAATCTCTTTGAATATATGCGATCATTTAAACCGTTCAAAATTAAATGATCTAGCGAGAGATCTTTAAGCCATAAACGGATGCAACCCTCCTTGGGTGAAAAGAGGGCGCAAGCGGCGAGTAGCCGCTTTGGCTCACAAGTAGTTTTTTTGTTTTTTATTCTCGGTCTTGTCACAAGCTTTTGTCAAACTTGTATAGTCGTTGAGAAAATGGGATTGACTCGAGAAAATTCAAGAGCGATGATTTATTATGACTTTCGAAGTGGTTTAACACAAAAACAGTGTGTTGACCGGATGATTTCTGCATTTGGTGATGAAGCCCCATCCAAAACCACAATTTATCGCTGGTTTGCTGAATTTCAACGTGGACGTGTCAAGCTCAGTGATGATCCCCGTCAAGGTCGTCCAAAAACTGCAGTCACCCAAGAAAACGTTGATGCTGTGCGTAAGCTGATTGAGGAAGATCGACATCTGACATACCGCGAAATTCAGGCAACTTTAGACATTGGCATGAGTCAAATACAAATAATCTTGCATGAACAATTAGGTGTAAAAAAGTTGTTTTCCCGATGGATACCGTATTCGCTCTGTGAAGAGCAAAAAGCGGCTCGCGTTACTTGGTGCGTCAGAACTCTCGAAAGATTCCACGCAGGATCCTCAAATGCTGTATACAACATCGTATCAGGTGACGAATCCTGGATATACGCGTACGAACCCGAAACAAAAAACTAGTCACGAGTTTGGGTGTTCGAAATTGAGTTAAAGCCAACAAAAATTGTTCGTTCACGGAGTGTTGCAAAAAAAATGGTGGCCACGTTTGTCTCCAAAACCGGCCAACTTACGAATATTCCTCTTGAGGGACAAAGAACAGTTAATGCAGAATGATATGCTAGCATTTGTTTGCCACAGGTCGTTTCTGAACTCCGTAAAGAGAACTGCAACCGCCGCATCATCCTCCATCACGACAATGCGAGTTCTCACACCTCACACAGAACAAAAGAGTTTTTAAAGCAAGAAAACATAGAATTATTCATGTTTTTTGCTTTAAAAACTCTTTGTTTAGACCATCCGCAGTACAGCCCCGACCCTAAAAAACCCTAATGATTTCTATACTTTCCTTAAAATAAAGAATAAATTGCGTGAACAGAGATTTTCATCACCTGAAGAAGCTGTGGACGCCTACAAAACTTCCATTTTGGAGACCCCAACTTGCGAATGGAATGGTTGCTTCGATGATTGGTTCCATCGTATGGAAAAATGTGTCAATTTTCGCAGAGAATACTTCGAAAAGCAATAAATACATTTTTAAATAGTAATGTTGTGTCACTTCCTTGATTCCCGAAATTTTCAGTGCCGCCCTCATCATAGGTATTAAAATTTGAAGCAAAAAGTTGTAAAATAAAATGACCTCTCTACGAACTCTTAAATATTTAAATAGTAATCTACGCTATAATCTTTTTTCATAGGAGTTTGTGATTATCAAAATGTATCATCTTTAAGCTAAATTAATATCCTCCAGACTTAATTTGATTAAACTTCAAGACAGACTTCCAAATATTTTCGAAAAATATAAAATGAGCAAAAACAAAAGTACTTATCAATATTTACCTATCTACACGCCATATAAAAACAAGACTACTAAACCTAACGGGTATCGAAAATGGGTATGGAAAGGCTATCCGATAGTATTGTGGAAATTTAAGTATTCGGATATAGTGTGTGCCACAAGGCCAAGTGCTTAAAATACCTAACTACCAAGTTCCGGATCCTCAGTTAAAATCCAATGAGAACCTCTGACAACACAAGTTTTGGGCTATTTTTATAGAATAAGGGTGGTGGCAAACAAGCACAAAATCCTCCTGATGGTAAGTGAATGCTGTGGTCCATAGACATCTACGTTAATCCATAAATAAGAACTACAATGCAGATGCATTATTATCCCTGAGGGATAATAAGGCATCTGCATCTGCAAAAGGGTTTCCGGTTTTCTACATTCACCATACGAAACACGAAAAGTGAAAAACCAGTTCTCAGGTATTAAAGCTTAGAGGATTAATGTAATGAAAAACAAAATAGCTACGTAATACCATAATGCCAAAGGGAGACAAAACAATTAAGCCATCAGCCACATTTTGTTCGGAGAATACCCGAACGATAGTCTTGCTAGTGGTTTTTTACACTGGTCTGCCACTAATATCAAATTTTCTGCCAAATTCCATTAGGTATTATTTTTTAGCGCTTAGATATTTAAAAAAAGCGCTTTAGACCCTAGAATTGCACTAGATCTAGCGCTAAATTCGCTAAAACGGCAATACCGGTCTGCGCGTGATGATTTATTGTATTTTTAAAATAATCATATAAAATAATCGGTTAAATAAAACGAGCAATTTTTTTTTGAATTTTTAACATTACCTGTACTTTGATAAAATACCTAATTAAAATAGACAATAAATAAGACATTGAAGTGGACAGTTTTGGTGATTTTATAGTATTGTTTTTTAATATTAAATTGAAATATTTTCGTAATTTAGGATTTGATATGCACTAAAAGACTATATATTCTATTATAATAACGCTTAAAATATAGTATTTTAGCTTATAATAATAGTTGTATTCGATCTGAAAAATCCATGAAATCCAACCGTAATAAATTCCACGCGGACGAAGTCGCAGGGAACAGCTAGTCGATATTAAATTTGTCTCCATAGCTTAATGGTTAGAATATAGAGCTACCACGGCGAAGTGCGCTAGTCGGAGTCTTTTTTCTCTGTAATAATTTTTGGAAAAATAATATACTTTTTTCTAGCGCATACCAAAGCTCAGTTGCACCGGTATTAGTAAATTAATCAAAGTGCAATAATAAGTTTTGTAACACAAATATTATACGGTTTAATAGGGTACACCACTTTAAACTCTTTAATTTCTCAGAAACCATTAAACGATTTGCGGTCCCCTTTATTGCAGGCCGCATGCGAAATGTAGTATTAAGTTGATGTGGCGTTACTGTATTGATGGTGGTGTAAGATCATCAATTTATTTCACGTAAAATTTACTACAATTACTTTTTTAAGACAACTAATCCTATGACGACGAATGACTATCAATTAATTTTTATAGGCTGAAGAAGAATAGGACAAGTATGCGAGGCGATAGACGCAGACGGCTCCAGAATTTTTGGATTATGGGGAAGGACTTTGTACATCAGTGGACTTGTGCTGAGTATTTTTGCACTCCCCTTGTTGCCTCAGCCAGTATCGGAATCCTCGGCGTCGACATATCGAGTGACGTGCAGTTTCGTGGTCACTTGGAAGGGAAGGCCAAATTGGCCTCTAAAAAGCTTGGCGTGCTCAGCAGAGCGGGACAGTATTTCATGCCGGCACACCGCCTGCAACTTTACAAGGCGCAGGTTCGGCCGCACATGGAATACTGTTCCCATCTCTGGGCTGGGGCTCCCCAGTACCAGCTCCTTCCACTTGACCACATCCAGCGTAGAGCGGCTCGAATCGTCGACGACCGAGTGCTTTCCGATCGGCTCGATTCTCTGGCACTGCGAAGAGATGTTGCATCCCTTTGCATTTTCTTTCGCATATACCATGGGGAGTGCTCTGAGGAATTGTTCGGATTAATCCCAGCCGCCAAATTTCGTGAACGCACTACGCGGCAAACGTCCCGATACCATCCACACCATCTGGATGCTTGGCGGTCCACCACTGTACGTTTCAAAAGGAGTTTTCTTCCGCGTACAACCTCTCTGTGGAATAATTTACCACCGGCGATTTTTC